CACCTTTAGATCGAATTATACCAAAAAAGTTTTCGAGTACGTCTTGATTAAGGCGATAGGTCAAAACATATTCACAATTATGCTTTGTTTTTAAACTCGTATAGAGACCCTTTAAGGCATTATTTGACTGTATAATACCTATAATTTAAAAAACAAACTTAAAAGATTAAGTGGTACAATGTAAGATGACGTTTTACCCTTTTGAAAAGGAAGTAATGACTTTCTACCCACAGCTCGCATGTTCTTCATCAAGTTTGTCATTTCATCAAGAATTCGGTTTTGTTCTTCAATTGCTAAACCATATGCATGACAACGGGTTCTAGCATCCGCTCTCGGTACTCTTACGTTCATAATGTCAAACCAATCGTTAGTCTAAGTAAATATAATTCACAATTTCAAACTATTATCTAATTATTTAGGACTTTTACCACTTTAAAAAGCTGATGGCATTCACTCCAATTAAGCCCATCTAAAAATCCATGACTAGCAGCCCGTGTTATAGATTGAGCAACTGTATGTGAAAATAATTTTGTTGCCAATTTAACTTTCTGTCGCTGGGCTCCTGTTACATTTAAATTTGCTACGGATATTTTGTGCGTTATATTTACATCTCCTGATGACACCTCCAAAAGCTTTGTAATTATATCCTTTTGAACAATTTTCTGATCGACAATAAAGCCACTGTCAATAAAGTGGTTGCGCAATAGTTTTATCATATGCGGAACATCCGCAAATGAAAAAACTTGTTCATTTTCAAACAAAAACCTGAACATAAATACAAATGGTGATTTAAATTGTTAATTAAGAGTGTTTTGTTTTACCATGGGGCCTCTTCAGTTACTCCAAGTTCATTTAGTAGCGCTCTGTTTCCACCACCCAGATCAGAAACCATTGCAACAACTGTGTACCCACATGATTTTAGCTCCTCTAGAATTTCAAACAAAATAGTTTTAGTCATTTGACAGTCAAAATTATAAAAAATCGGCTGTTTCCATTTGGAAATGAGTCCTGAAAATTAAAAAAGGCAATGAAAACATTAATTTAAAAATTTTGTAATTTTAATTTACCTCTGACCATAGCTACTTGAGCATAGCTAACTGGACCCAATGTAGTATCTGTTGATTTGTTATAACAGTATGACTTTTTAATTTTCATCTCATCAAAACTTAACACGCAAAGTTTTTGAATGTCAGACATATGATTTGACTTTGATAAAACTTTAAAAACTGGTTTTAGCAATCCTTTATTTAAATCTACTTTCTGCGCCCAGCTTTGTAAAGTACGAACTGACGGAAGAGGAAAATGTTTGCGGTATAAAAGTTTGTATAGCTTTGCACTTGCGGCGTACAACGTTATTGACTGCGTTATATCTTCTTCAGTCCATAATTGTCTTTTCATGCCATTCTTTAGTTTTGCTATTTGTCCGCGAGTGAATATTACTGAAAGTTTTTGCTCTATATTTTCAAGCTCGTAATTTGTTTTTTTTATCTGAGTTTTCAACTCTTCAACGTCCTTTTGGTGTAATTGTTTTAGTACTAAAATTTCCTGGTGATGACTGCTTATTTGTGTGTTATTATCGCTTTTTAAAAGTTTGTTTTCATTCCGAAGATTTTGTCTTTAAATTAAAAAGTCATTGTCTATAAATTTTGAATGAATACCAACGCTACTTACACCTCGGTCCTTAAATGTTTAAGTTCTTCCATACATAAATATGGTTGAATATTTTCGGAACCAATGTCTTCAATAATTGTTTTAAAATTCCCGAGATTTTGGACGTCATCGGTGATATTTTCTTTTTGTTCTATATTTTTAATGCAATTATATTCTTGGAGAATTAAAGCTACCATCTTTTTGTTTTCTTGTTGTTCAATTATTGATAATTGTTCTTCGCCTAGTTCTTTATTTTCAAATGGGTCATGTTTTATGGATGGAACAGTACCGGGTTTTAAAAGTCTCCTTTTGGCGAACCCTTGGGTTAATGCATATTTTTATAAATATTTTTTTTAATCAATGTTATATATCCCACCCATTTCGTACTGCAACCTATTTTCCACATCTTCATCTTTAAAATGTAGCATGCATACATATGATGTTTTGGGATTTATTTGTTTCTCACGGTCACAAAAACTTACCCATTGCTTCTGAATGGAAGCGTCCGTCGGAAATAAAAAAAAACTAATTTCGCACGCCTTGGAGTTGTTGGTGCTTTTGCAATTTTTCACAGCGCATTTCATATTTAAAGTATTTTATTTTTTTAAATTTTTACAAAATTTTGTAACGTTTTTAAAATTTTTTAAATTTTTTTTTAAACGTCAATCACTTTATTTGCTGATGTGACGTAGCACATCGAACACCTGTTGATTTAAACCAAAAAAACCTGCGCAATGCGTAATCTATATTTTTATAATTCTTGATGCGTATCAATATTTAAAAACAAAACACACAACCAACCATAAAAATAAAACAAAATGAAAAGAAAAAAAAGAAAACATGTTTAAATAAAAAGAAAATTATATTTAAAAAAAAAATAAAATCAAATTTAAAGTGTTTTTTTACTTTTTGCGGAAAAAAGTTTTGAATTTGAAGGTATCGTCATATTATTAAGAATTGTTATAATCTGAAGCCGAGTTACGACAATCGAGTGATCGAATGTCTCTTATAGGTTCTTTATAGCACTTAAGTTGTATGTATCCAACAGAAATATTTGATTTAAATAGTGAGCTGCTCTTAGACCATTGGCATGACATAGAGACATTATGGGATTGTTTATCATTGGGTACCGGGGCACTCCAATGTGCATGGAATGAGGTTGCAGACGAATTAGCTAGATTAGGTTTGAACTTTCTGTCACAATTGTAGGTTGATATTCGAGAGCATCCGTGACATCATCAACCAGTCTGAAATAGAAGAATGGATTGCAAAATATCAAAGGCATTAAGGCCAAAACTTGATGTAAAGTCTACAAAGAAACTTATAGGATTAGAGAGACGCAGTTTTTGACAGTAAGACTGTAATTATAGGTCTATTCCAGATTAGGTTTGAACTTTCTGTCACAATTGTAGGTTGATATTCGAGAGCATCCGTGACATCATCAACCAGTCTGAAATAGAAGAATGGATTGCAAAATATCAAAGGCATTAAGGCCAAAACTTGATGTAAAGTCTACAAAGAAACTTATAGGATTAGAGAGACGCAGTTTTTGACAGTAAGACTGTAATTATAGGTCTATTCCAGGTTATGCGAAGATGCAGATGAACTAGAAAGTAGAATCTTAGTTTGAAATGGCAGGGTAATAGGTTCGACGACGAACTAGGGGGAAATTGCAGGACTTAACTGTGGCAGTCTACTAGGTTTTATTAGAATTAGTCATTTCTTTGACTGGGTTTTATAGGCAATCTCAGATTCTCTTATTTTTCTTTCTTCGGGAAATCGACTCTGTAAATCTTTACAGAATCTCTCACTTTTCTTTCTTTGCGGAATCGACTCTGTAAATCTTCTGGGTTGAAACCTGTTTCCATTCATCTCTCCTCTCCTTCATCTCAAATTTATGTTCCTTCTAGTTTTTCTAGTGTTTTGATTCTCTATCTTTCGATCATCGCTTTCTATGAAGGAAATCACAAAGGACCTTATGGTATCCGAGTAGAGTTGCACTTTTTCATGGTGCATAACCCTTCTTAATCGAAACATAGTTAGCCCCTCTGTAGAGAGGTTTCCATCTCACAACGCGCATACAATCTGTGCTGCGTAATATGCTAGAAAACGAAATTGCGGATGAACTATCAAGAGTCAAAGCAGATTTGGACATGTGCTTGGCTTGGCCAAGTGGTCCACCTTAAACCTGAGCTAAAGTAATTGACTTGCAGATTTTAAATAAAATACTTTACAAATTGGATCGGAAATAAAAATTTGGTATAGTTTTCAATTTGTCGCATACCCTGAGGTTCCCTAGTTTCAAAGCTCCCAAAATATTGTCCTAAGGACTGTAACGGTCTGCTTGTCAGTACGCGATACTTGCGAATTATATCGGTGCGTGACCTACACGTGCAAACTGGCTCAGGTTTTACCGAATATACGATGTTAATATTCTAATATGTACCGATAGCCAGGCAGCCCTTAGGATTCTAAGTGGTATCTACACAACATCAAACTTAGTCCTAGAATGTCGGACTGTACTGGATTCAAGGTCATCAACAAATTCGTGGTAATACTATCGCAGACTCTCTTGCGAAGTTGGGTTCCTCACTTGCAAGAGAGCACACAGACCCTTTATATTCCGAAAGTTACGGAACTTAACGGCGGTGGTAACTGGCCAATGGCTCTTTGTGCTCCATGCAAGAAGACGAAACTTACCCAGTACTGGCTTCTGCGGAGCTGCCAGAATGACTTCCTTTGTTATTATCCCGCCCTAGCGTATCATAGAATGAGTCTGCAGGCAGCTACTTCATGGATGACTTAAAGGATCTATCGGAGGTAGACATCCGAAAGATAGACTCCTATATTCGTGCGACCAGCTGTTTTGGTTTAGAAAACCAGAGTACTTAGGTCTAAGTGTACTAATACGCTGACAGTTTTCGCTCGTTTCAGGTATTACAAAAGGATCAATTTACTAGACCCAAGCATCCCCAGTGAAGACATCGCGAGGACGACCTGCTAACCTATGACCTACACTAGAAAACGAAGATTCTTTCAGTCAAGGGACAGGAAGAATCTTTATATGTAGAAGGAAAACATACAGAATTCTTAATTTAATACTTATCACTTCATATCTGAGCAAGTGCGTTATAAGGAAGCATTCTCAACACTAAACTGTTTCATGTTATGAGACTTTATAAATGGATGAATATAATCAATCGTTTTGCCAAGCAATCTATTATTACATGTTAGTTTAATTTCAATACGAAAAACATGATCATGCGATCCCAGGTTCTAAAGTAATAATTCTATTACTTCAATGTGGCTAATTAGAAAACAACACATTCTAAAAAAAAGTTCCAAGTAAATTCCATATTAATTTCATGGCATATTTGTATTTAATATAATATAATCAATTAAAACTACAATAGAAAAAAATACTTGTTAAAAAATAATTACAAAAAAGTAAACCTTAAATAAGTGGCTGTTGGAAAATGTTGTACAAAGTCTAAAGTAGTAGTATATAGAATGTATCGCAGCTATATTAACCCAAAACGATTTTGGCCTCTTTGCCATCCACAATGATTTTCTGGCCATTAAATAAACAAAATTCACGCTTAACATAGGCAAACAATAAATCAGTGACTAGGAATATCTGAAAGAAAAGAGAATTGATTTACCATGAATAAATAATATAAAAAAACAAATACCTGTCCGGTGGAAAAAGCCAAAGTGGCACCAAAATAAAAATTTGCATTAGCTGAACCAGAATAAATCCATAAATGCCATAAAGCGGGCAGCATGCATAAGGAAACCACAAAGAAACAAAACACAATAAAGTTGTGAGCCATGACTAGAAAAGAAAAATTAAAAAAATTTAACAATTTATCAACATATAAGATTAAAATGCTTACACTTCCAAGATCTTTTCCATAGAGGCAAGAGAGCTAAATAAAAGGCCACATCCCCTATACAGGGATAGGCCCTAAAAATGGACATTAAACCTATTAGAATAGTGGCCAGTAAAATAGGCTCCTTGCGCAACTTAAGAGACAAGGGCACCAAATACAAAACGGTGGCATTCATTTGAAATGTTACCAGGAACATGGTGCGAAAATGATCAAACATTTCGGTAAAGAAATACCAAAATAAACCAATATTCGGCTGCAAATCACGATAGAAAAAGCTGAAAATAAAACACAAAATTTAAAACAAAAATTATTTTCTGTAAAACCATTAACTTACATAAAACCCAAAGTGCCATCTATAAAATTCCAATTATCCTTTCCCATTATTTTGTAGTTTAACAAAAACAAAGATGTTGTCAGCAAACTAAAAAAGGCCAGGGTATGGAATATGCCTTTTAATTTTTTATCCTGTTTGGAAATCAACACCACTGGAGCCAGTAAAACTATGGGATACAAATTACGTTGAAACTCCAAAGCCACACAAATAAAAAAAATCAACACCCGGAAATCCACCAAACCATATAAAGCCAAAGATAGAAATAAATTACTAAATACGGTAGAGGTTAAACCGGCACAGTTGAAAATGGCCAAAGGATTAAACAAATAAGCCATGAGCACTAAGAAAGGAATATTACTCTCATCGATAGGTTGATATTGTAACTCTTCCGTGTCTTTGGCATATAATTTCAATTCTCTACATTGTTGTTGCAATTTTTTGCGTACAAATATTTTACTCGTTTTGTATAATATCCAAGCTGTGCTTATATCCACCACTACGTACAACAGGGGCAATAAACCCTGCAAAAATTCAGAGGCATAGAGTAGAAACCACAACATAATGGGTATCTCATGCACCATATCGCCTTCATAGGGGTTTGTACCTTGCTTAAGTAAATAAATGCCTTCTTGTACTACAAAATAAAACGAAATTCATTTTCAACATTTGCTTTTTAATTCATTACAATTTTGTCACTCACCTCTTTTAAAGGAATTCAAGGGTGTTGCTATTTCTATACGATTCGCCAATATATTGCCCCATTCACTGTTGGCCAAATAGTAACGTAAGGCTCCACCTAATATTAACCATTTTATAGGTGTTTTATCCATTTTTTCTAAATTATTTTTTGGATTTTTTCTTAAAATTTTTCTTATTAAATCATTTATGAATTAATGCAGCCGGGAAGAGATAAACAAAAAGAATAAAATTGCAATTGTCAAATGTCAATTATTTTGCAACAGCTGTTATGTTATCGATAACAGGAGGCAATGCATCTCAAACTGTTAAAAAATTTATACAATTAATGGGTACGCTGAAAGAAAAAATTTCAGAAAAAAATATTCATAAAGTAATTTTATCATGTATTGGACAAAAATAAAATGAGCGACTCTAAAGTTTAGAGTCTAAACGGTCGAGATTTCTATAATATTTTTCACAAGTGTAACACACACAATTTAAAATTGTTTTGTTTAAACGTGAAATAATTAAAAAAATATTAGCACTATACAAATTCTTTAATGATCTCCAATTGGCCTGCGTTATTACTATTTATAAATGTTTAAATCAAAAACCCATTAAAAATACATTCATCTGACAAAGCACTAAAAATTTTCTCAGAAACACCCTGTCTAAGTTTGAGAAGCACTGTTTTTACAACATGCATGTGTTGAGCTGTCAACTTTGTATTTGTTTACAAATTGGAAAAAGTGTTCACGCGTGTTGTATTTTATTTATTATTTAAAACGAAAATATAATAAACTTATTGAAATTATTTAATGAAAACAAAGAAAAATAATAACAAAATGCCCGCCGTAAAAGCAGAACCTAAAATAGAAGATAAATTATTACAAATAAATCAAAATCTATTAAAATTAACTGCTGAACCGGACAAGTTTCTCATGTGAGTTTTAAGCATCAAAATTCTGTTGCTCTAGGCAGGCACATGTGTCATCATTTAAAAGGATTTGTCAAATAAAAACTTCTTTTCAATATTCCAGAGCTCAACCGGAAAAATGTAAAGATATCGAGGAAATGTTGCAGCAGATGTATGGTGTCACCATAGAAAGTGATAGAGCCAACCAAGGTAATCCAGAAATTTTGCCTGAACTGGTGGTGGAAGACATGGATGTGGAACAGATATGGCAACAGTTGGAATTGCGTAATAATTTGGCCATGAACGGCCTGATCAAACAAACAGCCAAATTATTGGCTTTGAGGGAGGAAAAATTGGAAGTTCACTTGAAAGAAGATGAAGATGAGGCCAATGAAATGCAATTAGGCGAAGAAGAGGAAGACGATGATGACCATGAATTGCAAGATTTAGAGGAAGAGGAGGAAGAAAATGAAATGGACAATGAAGAAGACGAAGATGAAGGCGAAGAAGAGGAGGAAGAGGACTTATTTAGAGAAAAATCTAAACCTAAACAAAAATCTAAACGTAAATCTGTAGTGGATGACAAATTCTTTAAATTGGACGAAATGGAAGCATTCTTAGAAGCCGAGGAAGCAAAAGAAGAGAGAAAACATAAAGGCAAATTATTGGCCAAAGATGATGATGGCATCAATTACTTTGCTGAAGATTTTAGAGATGAAGGTGAAGAGGATTCCGAGGATGAGGATTCAAATCCTGCATATAAAGATTTCTTTGATGTGGATGAAGATTTAGAAGAGGATGAGGATAAAACAAAACGTAAAGATAAAAAGAAACAGAAAGATCATTTTGATGATAACGCGCAAGAAGAGGACGAAGATGATGAAGAAGAAGATGAAGAACATGATGAAAATATGGAAAATGATGGTGAAAATATGCACGATGAAGATGATGAGGAAGAACAAGAGCAAGTGAATGAGGAAAAACAGCCTTTAGCTTCTGGGGAAGATTCAGATGATTCAGAAGACAGCGAAAAAGCCGATGAACCTAAATCCTCTTTTGAGCAAAGACAAGCTAGATTGGAACAACGCATACGTGATTATGAATCAGAGGTTCTGGGAGAAAAACCTTGGCAACTTAAGGGTGAAATACAGGCCACCTCACGTCCTCAGAATTCTTTACTTGAAGAAGTATTAGAATTTGAATCAACCGTACGTCCTGCACCCATTATAACCGAAGAAACTACCCGCTGTCTGGAAGACATTATTAAACAACGTATTAAAGACAAAGCCTGGGATGATGTAGTGCGTATCGTAAAACCTGTTAACACGCCACAAGATTATCGCAAAAAATTAGTATTGGATCAGGAAAAATCCAAAGAATCTTTAGCCCACATCTATGAAAAGGAATATCAAATGGAAATGGAAAAACTCAATCCCAACCGTGATCCAAATGAACCCGAAGAACCTAAAGAACATCAGGAAATACGCAAAATGATGCGTGAATTATTTGTTAAACTTGATGCATTATCCAACTTCCACTTTACACCTAAACCTGTGGCACCAGAACCTAAAATTATTACAAATACACCAGCTGTGGCTATGGAAGAAGTGGCTCCCGTTGCCGTTAGTGATGCTAAACTATTGGCACCCGAAGAAGTATTCCGTGGTCCGAAATATGAATTGGTTGGCAAATCAGAACGTACTAAGACCGATAAGAATCGTGCTTTACGCAAAAAGAAATCAAAACAAAGGGCCATACACAATGCCTTGGAGGCCAAGGATTTGGAACGCCAGAAGAAGGGTATACCACTGACGAAGAAGGAAGAAAGTGCCAAGCTCATGAAGAAATTAACAAAACAGAGAAATGTCGAAAAAGTAAGAAATGTTTTTGTATATGTATGTAATTTGTACAATTTTATCTTTAGATTTAAATTTTGTTTTATTACATTAACAAATTAAATACTGTAATTTTTCTAAAACATAATTTTATCATTCCCTTTTCAGATTACATCCAGCAACGATCAAGGTGCATTGAAATCATCCAAGGCCTTCTTCTCCAAATTACAAGATCAAGCAACAACTACCGTAAAACCAACAAAAAAGAAACAGGATGCCAAATCCTTATCAGCGAAAAAGTTAAAATTATAGTCAAACTAAGTACATAATTGTTTTCAGTTATTTTTTCTTTTTTAAATTAGCAAAGTCAAGTAAAATTTATACATACATATATACATTTTTTATATAAGTATATAAAAAACAGCAACAATAATAAAAAACCAACGTTAAACATTACAAATTTATCTCAAGACTACAAAAACGCATAAATGATTAAGGACATTATGATTATTACGTGCCAGTTGATATGTGTAAGGGAGGGAGGGTATGAGAGAGCCATTCTCTCTATGCCTGAAGTTGTTGTGTTATCCTGAATGAATGCATAGTTGTCGATGTGGATCAGAAAAGTACAAGCTAACGAATGTTCATTCATTCATTTATGCCATAAAAGAATGAATAGAGTTTAAGAACTAAT